ACCTTGTGTTCACTATTATTTCGCGCGACATCGAATTATCCATTAATTCTCTACCGTTTGCCTTAAGGGATTTATTTATTCTAGTCAGAATAATAAACAATCGTGTTATAATCGGTCGCTCGCCACCAGAACCGATATTACCGTAACGCCAATGTACGCTGCCACGATGCGATTTCAAGTCGTAGGTGTGTAAAGTAGAATTAAGCGAGAAGAGAAAGTGGCGATTACACCGACAGCGAAGTATTTTCTCGTTCACAAGTGAAATGAGATACTGAGTAGAGATCAAACTCCACAATGCTATCGCGATTCTTTTTGTAATTGATCATACGTACATTTATTTTGCGTCACATAAAAAAATATATAAAATTCGTATAGATTATCTCTTGTACACAAAACCTAAAATATCTTACTCAACAAGGACAGTAGATTTCTAATCGACAGGACAGTCGTCTCTTCCCGAGTGTTGATGTGGTGTCTGAGCACACTCAGAAGTTTCTGATACAAGAACGATTGCCTGTCCGAAAGAAAAAGATGAAATGGCATGAGTTACTCTCAGCGTCCCTCCTTCCGTCTTGTAATTACGTAAAAGGACACAACCATACTCGACAGATATACGGTTTTGAAACATTATTGGCAGTCGGACAAAAAGAAAACAAGTTCGTTGATGATGTAATAAAGCTTCACGTCTTCCTTTTATCCAATGATGTTTCTAAACCGCACAGCACTCTAGATATTACCTGTTAGCCGGCTTGCATATCGATAAATGATCCTGCGGAATCTCGAAGAACTCTCCCACGCCAGGATCTGGAAAGATACAGACATTACAGTGTTTTATATGCGTATGTGTTTGCGTATGTTGTTGATAAGGATCTAGATAAGTTAGATTGATTTGCAATTGCGTACCGTCAAGGTAAGCTGATCTGTAATCGACGACGCGTGAAAATGGAATATCGACAGTACATGTCTAATCTGAAGCATTACCTGCTGAATCGAGGGTGACGAATTGAAAGGGAAACTTGAGCGCGGTTACAAGCGTAGGTTTGGCCTCGGCGAAACTCACAATCTCTATGCGATATTCATTCAGCATTTCTAGGAATTCCTCGTGCAATCTTAGCAACTGCGGCGATTCTGGGAAAAAAAATGTTGGAACAATAAGTCGCGCGTTAATTGGAAACCAAAGACAGATTGGCGATTACCTTCGCGTAGTTCTTGAACCTCGACCGTTGGCCATAGCAGCATTTGCGTCGCTTGCTTAAGAGCCGCTACGTGCGAGCCTCGATGAGGAGTACCGTAAAATAGGATAGCCTTGGTGTTCTTGCAGATGCCGTGCTTATCACCAGTTTTCCACTCTGCAAACATAATTATAACACGTAACGACTTTAATAATAGCAATAGTGGTCATTTTATATCGGTACATTTATCGAAGTATATAAAAATTAGTGTAAATTTTCAACTTATACGTACCTTCTACAAGCATCTTCTTAATTAATAATCCGCCCATCGAATGGGCGACCCATATAAGTGGCCGCCGGCCCACGTTTGCCATTGTCAATTTGGTAACAAATTCTTCACTTCTCTCCTTAATAGTGCTCCTAATAAAAATAAATGTGATGGATCAAACACAACTATTGAAATATTTAATGCCTGAATTTATCAGCGGGAGAATCAAACATTTCCCATGCGGTGATAAATCAAGTATCTAGTACTTACTTCATGCTTTCTATTGGGCAGAAAGGGGTCCACATGGATAAACTCGTACCATAATTAACGCCTATGATTCGTAGGGCTGGTATGTCTACAGGTAACCAGTCTTTGGGCCAACAGAGCGTCGGCGAGATGCAGTCAGGGTAGTTTCTCATACAGACGTCGTCTCTAAAGATTAAGTGTAGAAGTTGACAAATTAAAGACACGATATTCTCGGGCTTACAAGCAAATCTTTCATCTTAAGGTCGAATATACAGAGTGGACCATTTTAACCTTTAATGGAGAATAACTCGACCGGTAAGCGAAATAATAAAAAATGTTTCAGACAAAAGTTGTTTGGTTCCGAGGGGGCCATAAGATGGTACCATTGGTTTGACCTTG